GAATCGATCAAAAAAAATGTGTTTTACTATGTTTTTCTAAAAACTTATTGACTTGCCCTCGTATGATACTGAGAGTCCACTTAAAATTACGTGTGACGCATCTATAGGATTAGGGGCAGTTTTGTCATATTCTTCCAGATGGGTCGGATAGGCCAATAGCTTTCGCCTCAAAAATTTTATCAGTCGCGCAGAGAAATTATTTTCAATAATTATTCTCAACGACGAGAAAGCATTACTCTGGTATTTAGAAAACATTTCATCAGTATGTATATGGTCGTAATTTCATATTAAAAACCAATCATAAATCTCTTACGTACATTTTTGGACCAAAGAAAGGAATTCCACAGATGGCGGCTAGTCGAATGCAAAGGTGGACTTATTTAGCAGGATATGATTTTATAATTAAGCACATTAAGGGACAAGACAATGAACCTGCTGACAGTTTATCGAGAATTGGCGAGGTGGATATTCACAATTGAGTTAAAAGAGACGAAGGAACATATCTAAAAGTAATCGTAAGAGTGCAAAATGTGGATAACAAGGTCGTTCGCATAGAAACTAGTAAAGATGCAATTTTGAGGAGAGTTCGAGATTTTGTAATGCGGGGTTAGCCTAATAAAATAGATGACTGCCTTAAACCATTCCAAAGTCATCGTTTAGAATTAACACTGAAAGAAGATTGCGTAATGTAAGGATATCGCGTTATTATTCCACAGTCTTTGAGAGCTGATTTATTAGAAGAGCTTCACGAGGCTCATCTCGGGATAGTTAAAATGAAGGTGTTGGCTCGATCTTATTTTTGATGGCCTGATTTAGATAGAGACATCGAGGAAATAACAATGTCATATAAAGAGTATTTAAAGAGCGCGAACGACTTCCCTCCCCCCTCTCCCTCTAAAGGCTTCGTTCATTCATGGAAGTGGTTTCAGGGCCCAAATCATCGTATCTAGATTTTTGCGGACTGATTAATATGTATCTCGTGATAATTGACGTAATCGAAATAAATTGATATTAAGGAAACGTGCGATATTTCTTCGGAATCTATAATTAGAGAACTTTAAAAGAGTATATAAGCATATGGCTGCCACATCAGATTGTTTCTGATAATGGTCCGGCATTTTCGAGCGAGTAGTTTCGAGAGTTTGTACTGCAATATGCTATTAAGCATACGAAAACCGTATCTTATATCCGCGTCAAATGAGGCGGCTGAGAACGCCGTGCGCACTTTTAAAAAGAAATTTAAAGTATTATTTAAAGATAATGCGAGACAGGATGCTTTATGTAAATATTTATTCTATTATCGCATGACACCGCACTGTATGGAAAAGACACTAGCCGAATTGCACTTAAACAGACGTTTGAGAACGCGATTGGATGTTATTAAGCCTGATATTAGAAATAGAATTGAGCAAAAGCGAAGTAATCAATAACGTTTTTTTAAGAGCAATCGTACTGTTACTTTTAGAGACGATTCCGTGATGGCTAAAGATTATAGGACAAAGTCGTGGAGACAGGCGGAAATTGTTGAGCAAACTAGTCCGGTTACTTATAATGTTAGAACGAATGATGTATCTGGAAACATCACATTGATCAACTGCAGGCGTGTAATTTGCGTTTACCCGAATCTTGTATGATTGATGCCTCGAAGTTACCGGATGACGGTATTTCTCCGGATAGAAGCACTTCTGTAAGTGCTATTTCCCTAACGTAAGTGATAACTATGATAAGGAGGGGGCACTATCGATTAGTTGTAATGTTAGCGACTCCAAGATCACTGCGAACTGTGATATAAGCGCGCACCGCCCAGACAAAATAGCATAGGCGAAATTTCCGGGAACACTAAGAGCCCGCACTGAAGATCGGTGACGCTCAAGCCGAGTACCGAAATCTCGGAAAATCTTAAACTTATAAGTGGATTTGTATTTTCTTCTTTTTTTTTGTTTTTTCAAATTAAGTGGGGAGGAAATTGTAGTGTTAGTTGTTGCCTCTAGATGTAGAAAGCGCTTAGAGTATCTTCTTTTCTTCCCGAACGACTGTGAGATGACATGGTGAGCGTAAAAGAAGCGGCAGAATTCCCCCTGTATTGCAATGGCGGTTGAGTGTGGCATGTGATATTATATGGAAATATATACAATAAAAGTGTGCATAGATGTGTGTTCTGCCTATTTATTTGTTGCGGTGTACCTTCCGATGCGTGCAAAAACATTATAAATTCATGCTTGATTTATCTTTCATATCGAAAGGAAAAGAAAAGAATGGCGCCGAAAAATACCTTCCTCTAATTTTTGCCGATGAATATTCTAAACACACGCTATCAGCTCCTCTTGTTTCAGTGCCTAGGAAAAAGCTCAAACAATTACAACCGTGAATGCCATGACTTTTTGCAAAGAACTACGTAAAAATAAGGCTGTATTTATAATCTTACGTAATGTTTTATTTTTTTTTTAAAGAATTTTTTGTTGGTCATACACACACGTACAAATAACATCATGCGTACACGATCACAAATACATGATTAGACAATGGGCTATAATTGCTTGGTAAATGACTTGCCTATTCACGTATGCAGGATGTATTAATTATCATCTCTTTTTCATGTAAACATGCAATTGAATTTTATATAATCTTTTCACATTAATTAGTTTAATAAGTAATTCACATTAATTAATTTAATAAGTATATCTAGATAATTTTATTCAGCATAATTTGGGCTAAAGATTTTCTTTCTATTCACATATATCATGTAAAATGTTTGAGTAAATGATAATTACATTAACATAAGTTTTTAATAAACGAGAATAATTAAAAATTAATTAAATCTATAAATCTTTTATCAAGAAAAATGTTACTATGAGTTGAAGTACTTATTTGTAACAATTATGTAATATTAATACATACAAAATTATGCATTGCTCTCTATGTAAGAGTATTATAAACTGGCAAAGCCACTTTACACATTCAGACGAATGAGCGTAGCTAAATTATGTATCGTATTAAAATCAAAGTCTGATTATTTGTGATAGAGGATGTAATTATTGTATTCTATATAATTATTCGAATCTACTTGCTGCTGACATTGTGGCTGATATGTATCACTTAATATCACGCGGATCTTGCGCGAGAGACAGATCGAAGAACTCGGGAGCTAATTCTGTTTTAGTTTTTTAGATATTGCTTTTAAATATTAGTTGATGTCATGATATACAAATATTAGATTTTTTTGGATCTGAGAACATTTGCACGAGCATCGTTCTAAATTTTCTTTCAGACAAACGAATCAGAAAATATATTACATAATAAATATATACACGGTGGTCCACTTAAATCGAACATCTTAAATATTTCGTTTATTTTTGATACAAAAAAAATGTTTCAAACAAAAGTGGAATGATTTCGAGGGAGATATTTTGGTCATGTTACTTTTTTTCTAGGTGGAGGCGTAAAAAAAATATGATCACCTCCACTTTTTTAAATGGAATTGTATGATTTTTTGTACACAATATGATTCTTCTAATTATTCTGCACATAAAAGTATTAAGGTAGTAATATCAAAAAATCAATAATTTATGAGATATTTTGCACTTTATTCTGGCACATATTGATATAAAATATTAAATATAAATTCATATATTGATATAAACTCATAAACTATTAACTTTTTGGTAATCATACCTTAATACTTTTATGAACATTGGTCGGTTGGATCCATTGGTTCAGATGATTTTATGCTATGCTGTGCTTATATATTTTCTGTAGAGATCCCTAATATGTATATCGTAATACGGTTTATCCTCAAAACTTTCACAAGAATGTCATTATGCGTAATGTTCAAAGACTTCAAAAGACTTTAACGTAGACTATTATATTTTCGATCATATAATTTGGATTTTTTATTTATATTATAGTTTCAGAAATAGTTTAGCAAGTAGTACGAAACGTGAAGATGTAGACATAGTGTAAAAAATTCTAAAGTAAAAGGAAAATTATGTAATTTACATCAAAATAAAAATACATACGATTGTCAAATTTCGACAATCGATCGGTCTGTAAAATGTTTTAAATGTTTTAATAATTTAATGCTGAAGAAATATTTTAAACTTTGTAGGGTTCTCGATAGCCTTCTTTAAGTCGAAGGTGAAGAAGCAGAGCACGTGCCTACAATTCTGGCGAACTGAGAAAAGATTCAGATTTTGGATACGTAATTTTGTCAAGTCGCAACAGTTCTATTGGTTCGTCATCGTTCTTGTGTTCTTTAACACCGTCTGCGTAGCCATCGTGCATTACAATCAGCCAAAATGGCTCACTGATTTCCTCTGTAAGTTTTCCTTTAATCATGAAATATTTTATTATACAATATTTCATGATTAACATATATGAAAATTTCTGAGAAAAGATATAAATTTTCTGAGAAATGTTTCAATTCGCATAAAAAATGTGAGAGAATTATAAAATTATAGAGAAATTCTGAAAAATTATATAGAAATTCTGAAAAATTATATAGAAATTCTGAAAAATTATATGAAAAATTCTGAGAAAAATTCTGAGAAAAATTCACCTGGGAATGAAGATTTGAAGGATTTCAATGTAACGAAAACTTATTGTATCTAAAAGGCTCAAATTCTTCAAGAACTAAAGAGTCCCAATTTAACTCAATTTTTTTATTGCAGACTTCGCAGACTTTGTGTTCCTGAGTCTCTTTATAATGGAGATGTTCATAAAAGTCTACGCGCTCAGTCCTCGCACATACTTCGAATCGAGCTTTAATCGCTTCGACTGCATCATCATCTCAGCCTCGATCTTCGAAATGATCTGGTTCAAGTTGAAGAAAACCGATGATTCTTTCGGCCTCTCCGTCCTACGTGCTCTTAGACTCCTGAGAATTTTTAAGATCACCAAATACTGGAAGAGCCTGAGGAATCTTATGATATCGCTGCTAAGTTCGATGCGCAGCATCATTTCCCTTCTCTTCTTACTCTTCCTCTTCATCCTCATATTCGCACTGCTCGGTATGCAACTATTCGGTGGCCAATTCAATTTCAACGATGGTACACCGCCTACTAACTTTAACACCTTTCCCATCGCACTGCTCACTGTCTTCCAAGTGAGTATAATCAATTGTTATTACGATTTTTATTTGTTGTTGTAAATGAGTTATAATCGATCTTTTAACAAATATGACCTAATTCTATTGCATTATGTACACTTTAGTTGTTCCAAATGTTTAAAAGATAAAGCGAGAAAAGTATTCGTTTCATAGTTTCGCTAACCTTTGAAAGATAGCCGATACATGTAATTTGTATACTTTATAATATAAAAAAACATTAGATACATAGTGAAAGTATAGTTTTTGTATACTTTAAATGCAATGGAAATTTTGTATCTAATAATAAATATATATTGTTCATGAATGATAAAAAATTAGATGTTTCTTGAATTAAAAAATATTCGATTAATGTAATAATTGATAATGATTATAATACAGATCCTGACTGGAGAAGACTGGAACGAAGTGATGTACAAGGGTATCGAGTCGCAGGGCATGGCCTATTCGCTTTACTTCATCGTGCTGGTGCTTTTCGGCAACTATACTCTACTGAACGTTTTCTTGGCTATCGCTGTTGATAATCTCACAAAGGCGCAAGAACTAAGTGCCATTGAGGAGGAGCAGCAGGAGAAGGATAAGGAGAAACAGTTGCAGGAACTCGAGAAAGAGATTGAGTCGCTGCAAAGACCCGCGAATGCATCGAGAGTGGAAATCTGCCCTCCAAGTCCAACGCAAAATTTGTAAGTTTTTTTTCTTTTTATCATATTTATAAAAATTTTTGTCTTTTCTTGTTTGGTACTTGTAAAAAATAATATTTTGTTTAATAAGATTTTATGTGAGGTAGAATAGAAAATTTCACAGGATCTTTGATATATAAGTGTTGTGACTTTGTGCATATTTTAATTGCAAAACTGTTTTAACAAAATGATTATTAATTATTCGTGATAAAATATAATTAATAGTTATTAATAAATATTATTCGTATTTAATAAAAAATTGATAATTACGTAATATAGATTAAAAAATATAAAACGCAATAATGACGGAGAGCCATAAAATGGAGAATGTCTCGTCTTTTCCAGAGACGGAAGAATTGAAACTCAGATGTTCGAAGAGAAGAGGCAGGATGAAGACGACACGGGACCAAAACCAATGCTGCCATATTCCTCCATGTTTATACTGTCCCCTACGAATCCGTAAGTATAATAATAATAATAATAATAACTGTT